GAAGCAGTCTTCTTCTCACCATTCCCACTTCAGGTAAGTAGCTTAGTTCTCCTTCTAATGATAATTCACACCATTCCCACTTCAGGGACACCTGCCTGCACCAGGCCTGTTGCCACACATGCCTGCTTCATACCCCACTGGGCCCTCAGCGCCAGGCAATACACCCAGATGCTCTTGACCCCAGACCAGTCCCTGACAGCAGAAGAAGACTTCAACCTCATTCCCCCCTCACCCCTCCCACCCCCTTGCTATGGTGACACAAGAACAATATGATGACCTGCTGGCCTGGTTCCAGGAACTGTCATATCCATCCATGGCCACCACCCTCAACCACCTCCGCTCCTCTGGATTACCTCCACTCCTCCACCACTAACCTTGGAGCCTCCAGTTTCTGCAATCACCTCCGACCCCCCCAATGGTCACCACCCCTCCAATTCAATATATTACCTATGCCTCCCTAAGTATGGAGCCCTGAAGCTCTCCGGACAGCTCCGACATCCACCAGCACATTCCCACCTCCAGTGGGCAATTCACTTGCTTGCCCTGCAAGTCTACCTTTGGGCCTATCCCTCCTTTCCGCTTGTGGGTCTTAACCCATCATTCCGTTAAACCTGCAACCCGACTCGTTGGTAATATTCAGTCGGCTAACATCTATCCCCATTAGCTCCGCTCTGCTCGGTCCCGCTATTCACAGGCCTGCTGTTAGAATGGGCGGATTCGGATGACTCCAGAGTGGAATCGGAGACTTAGCATGGAAGGACCTCGGCCTCAGCGACTCAGGTGGAGCGCTGTGCCATTGCTGGTTGTCCTGGGGGTCCCTAATTTCGGATCTAGCAGAGGGAAAGTCTCTTGGGGGGAATTCAGGTTGATTTCGGACTGAGGTTACAAGTTACTATGTACATTGTATATAAGGAGGGGTCCGGAATCAAAAGGAACAAGGGTAGGATGAAAGGAGACAAAGGGAGATGGAAAGAGGAACAACACCGAGGGTCAAGGGTTTGACTCAATGGTGTTTCCCAAAGGAGGAGTGAAGGGCCAAGGCCCAAGGAGGAAGGAAGGAGGTTGGGAGTGGGGAATGGCTAGCTGACTGAATAGAAAGGAAGCAGCAGCCCAAATAGGAATGAGGGAGAATAGCGGAATTGAATGGAGCAATGCAATAGTTGCAAGGTCCGACATAAGTCCGGAAAGTCTGAACTCGGAAGTTAAACTCCGGAATATTGGCAAACATAATTAAATGGAATGAGCTAACCAATACAATGGGTATAAGTGGAGGTGGGGTCAAAGTCCGAGGTCGGAGCTAAGACCGGAGGTCCAGAGTCGGGAGCATAGGTTTTGCATACTCGTCTGGAAGGTGTCGAGGTTGGGGTCGGACCCGGAATGTTCCGGAGTCGGACTGAAGGTGGTGTCCAAGCCGGAGGTGGGATAACCTTTTGGGAGTCGGCAAGGAGAAGGTGATGGAAGGGAAGTAGGGCTCCGGAAGTCGGAGTTCAGAGTTCCAGGAGCCCGGAGTGGAGGTCGGGATTGTATGGATATGACACCTGCCCTCGCTGTAACTATATATACTTAACTTGTACATAGGTTACACTCCAGTGATAAAATTGACTAGAGTTGATCCCCCTTTAGTTCTCGTTGCCAGTAAGTAAATTAGGGCATGGACATGTAACTTGGCACAGCACTCCTGGTCTGAGTCGCTGAGGCCGAAGCCCTCTGCCACGGAGACAACTCCTTTGTCTCGCTCAGGTCTCTAACACTAACCTCCAACCTACTCTGCCACCGTTCCGGTTCACCTCTGGTCCATCCTCCCCCCACACCTCTGCCATACCCTCTGATATACCTCCAGTCCACCTCCACCTCCGATCTCCAGTACCTTCTCCAGTACCTCTTATCCTCACCCTAAACGTTTAATAATATTTCTACCTACCCAATATTACTATGGACCTCCTAGGACCTCTGCCAACCCTGCAAAGGTTTTCCCACTTCCCAATAGCTGTCGCTAATTCCACCCTTCACCTACCCACTCCACAATGCTTGATAAGGCAATTCTCTCACGAGCTCACTGACCCAGCAAGTGGGTAAGTCCCTCTTGGGTTTCCCCTTTGTTCCCATTTGTCTCTTATTATGTATATAAGTCCTTACTGTAGTTGATGGCACCTTAGTGCAAAATTGACAAACAACTATCCCCCAGAGTTTGCACCCCTTGTTCTGAAGTTAAGGACCAGACTCTTAAGCGTTACTGAATGTAGGCACAGCACTCCTCTCTGAGTCGCTGAGGCCATGGTCCTCCTGCCCGTTCTCTACCTCTGGCCTCCCTTCTGGGGAAAGGTCCAGGAACACTGCCCCTCCTCACTGTGTCCTGACACTCTGTATCATTCTTTATTCTTTCTATTTCTATTTACACGGATGACTTTCCATTGATCAATGTACTATTGACCTGTCCACAATCCATGCATGCACACCCAGCCCCGGGTGCTCCGGATGACCCCCGGTGCACCCAACGTGTGCACCTGCAGCGGATCTCTTTGGGATCCCCCATGGGGATACCCAGATGGCTGGGGCTGTGCATGAGGATGGCGTGGCAACCCCCATGTGACCCAAGTGCCATGTATATAAACATACCTGAGGTGGGAACCAGAGAAGCAGTCTTCTTCTCACCATTCCTACTTCAGGGAAGTAGTTTAGTTCTCCTTCTAATGATAATTCACACTGTTCCCACTTCAGGGACACCTGCCTGCACCGGGCCCTCAGCGCTGGGCAATACACCTGGACACTCTCGACCCCGGACCAGTCCCTGACAGTCCTATCATGCTGACTACAGATCGGCCTTTTCCCTGTTGTAACCTCTGGCATCTGCTGTCTCAACCTCAGTCTGAACCAATTCTCAGTTCTCCTATTTTTATATACTATGTAATTATTGATCACTGTCATTGCAGCAAAAAAAATGAATGCCCTTCATTCTGAGCTGAACTGAATTGGCTGGAGCCGGAAATGCAATCATCCTTCAAACTGTCACAGAGTATGAGCCAACCTGTTATCATGTTTGCAATTTTAGGACCTTCAGTTCCACTTGGAAACCCCTTGATATCGGCTGCCTCTGTCATATCCATCCCCGGCCATCGACTTCCAATCCCTCCGATCCCTCTGGTCTACCCCCGCTCCTTCTCCACTAACCTCGGAGCTCCCGTATTCTGCAACTCCCTCGGTACCCCTCAATGGTCACCACCCCCTCCTTTCAATTTATTACCTAAGTATGGAGCCCCAAAGGCTTCCGGACAGCTCCGATGTCTGCTAGCGCACTCCCACCTCCGCTGGACAATACACTCACTTGCCCTGCAAAGCCCACCTTCAGGCCTATCCCTCCTTTCCGTTTCTGGGTTATCAACTGCCTTTCCGCTAACCCCGTAACCCGACTCGTCCGTAATATTCAATTGGCTAATGTCTAACCCCATTAGCTCCACTCCACTCGGCTCCGCCATTTGTGGACCCGCCCTCGCTGTAACTATATCTACTTAATTTGTACATAGGTTACACTCCAGTAATAAAATCGACTAGAGTTTACCCTCTTCAGTTCTGGTGGCCAGTTAGTAAGTTAGGGCACGGACGTGTTTACTAGGCACAGTGCTCCTGGCATAAGTCACTGAGGCCGAAGCCCTCCATCACGGAGACACTCCTTCGTCTCGACCTGGTTTCTGACAGCCTCCACGTGTGGGATATGTAATTATTAGTGCCCTTCTCCTTTTAGCTGAACTGGGTTCCTGTTTCCACTCTAAAGTGTCAAGTTCATAAAGAAAACAAAGGCAGTTAGTGTTTATTTCTTTGCTAAAGCATTGACCCATTGATCTATTTCCATAGCAACCAACTTTGAGGGACAGAATGATCTATCAACTCCAACAAAGTCCGACATCTACATACAAATACCACCTCATACTAGTAGCTGAGGATGATAAACTCACCACCACTGCACCTCCATTCACCCGTTGTCTAGGATATCCTGGAGAGCATGCTGATATGGAAAAGGCTCAGATTGATGAGTGCGGCCTCCGCCCATCTCAGAAAGGCATACACAAGGACTACCCTGTATACTGGCTAATGCAGGCAGTGAGATGAGAAATGGATGGGATGTCAGACATCAAGGTAGAGGAAACAATGAAGAAATTGGAATTAAATAAATGAGAATACCAACCTTGATGCTATGTGGTGTGGGAATGTTGTTGGACATCAGCAAAATATTGTTATGCTCCTGAGTGTTCTGGAGAATGGAGAGCACTGGGAGAATCAGTGTTAGAATGGGCGGATTCAGACAACTCCGGAGTGGAATCGGAGACTTAGTGTGGAGGGACCTTGGCCTCAGCGACTCAAGTGGAGCACTGTGCCATTGCTGTTTGTCCATTTGGTCCTTAATTTCACAGTAGGCAAGCAGAAAGTCTCTAGGGGGTATTTCAGGTCGATTTCAGACTGAGCCTCCTGCGAGTATGTACAAGCGCCGATATATATAATGGAGGGGGCGAAAGCACAAGGAAACGAAGGGGAACCGAATCGGAATGAAGGCATCTGAACGGGAACAAAGGGGTGACAGAAGCGGAGCGGTACCGAAGGTCATAAGACAGAACCTGTGATACATCCGAAAGGAGGTAAGGAGGGTGAGGCCCAGAGGGGCAGGAGGATGAGGGGAAGTGGGGAAGTGGGGAAGTGGGGATGATGACTAACTGGCTAGAATGGGAAGAAGCAGCAGTCCAAATAGGGATGAGGGGAAAACGCGAGAGATACATTACAAGCGGCGAAAGTGCCGAAGAGGATCCGCAAAGCTCGGAGGTTGCGGAGCTTACGGAGGCGGGGTTGAAAGTCCGAGGAATATTGGCAATGGTGTTTATGTAGTATGAGGTCACCAATGCAATGGACTAAGACCGAGGTGGAGTCAAAGTCTGAGGTAGGAACTATGATGGAGGCTCGGAGCAAAGGTATGAGCGGCGCCCAAGTACGAAGTATGGGTCAGCGGTGGAAGGTCATAACTTGGTGGGAGGTCGGTGGAAGAGGACTAGAGGGAAGAGAGGGGAAGGAAGAGAGGGGAAGGAAGAGAGGGGAAGGAAGAGAGGGGAAGGAAGAGAGGGGAAGGAAGAGAGGGGAAGGAAGAGAGGGGAAGGAAGAGAGGGGAAGGAAGAGAGGGGAAGGAAGAGAGGGGAAGGAAGAGAGGGGAAGGAAGAGAGGGGAAGGAAGAGAGGGGAAGGAAGAGAGGGGAAGGAAGAGAGGGGAAGGAAGAGAGGGGAAGGAAGAGAGGGGAAGGAAGAGAGGGGAAGGAAGAGAGGGGAAGGAAGAGAGGGGAAGGAAGAGAGGGAAGGAAGAGAGGGGAAGGAAGAGAGGGGAAGGAAGAGAGGGGAAGGAAGAGAGGGGAAGGAAGAGAGGGGAAGGAAGAGAGGGGAAGGAAGAGAGGGGAAGGAAGAGAGGAGAGGAGTCAGATCCGAAGGTGGGTATCGGAGCAGACGGGAGAAGAGTAGGAGGACGATGGAAGGGTGGAGGTGTTGTGAGGAGGGAGCGGAGGAGGGGGCAGAGGAGTGAGTGGAGGAGTAGGAGGAGGGTGGCGAGAGGGGTGGTGTTCGGTCCGAGGTGGTTATCGGAGTGGACGGAGATAGGACAAGAGAGTGATGGAGGAGTGGAGGTGGCATGGGAGGTGAAGGGTGGTATGGTGCCAGGACTGAAGGTGAATATCGGAACGGACAGCAGTAGGGTAGGATTCCAGAGGTGGGGAAGGAGGAGGTCCGGAAGTCGGGTTGGGATCAGGAATGCATGGATATGACAATCAGGAGGAGATTGGCCAGTCCAGGAACAGCTCATTTCCTCTGGAGTTGGCCAGATACTCCAGGGCACTCCCAGGAGGGCATGGAGCATTGCTTTGTGCACAAACATATCCAGTAAATACAATTTAAATGCTTCAAAGTGTATAGGGGTGAGTGTCAGGGCACACCCGCCTGACCCAGGTCCACCCGGACCCACCCAGCCACACCACACCCACTCCCCACTGTCCAACCCTCTCCCTCCTCCTTCCTCTGTCTCTCCTCCCCTTTTCCTTTCTCTCTTTCTTCCCCTTTCTTTATCTCATTCCTCTCATCTTCCTTTTCTTGTTTATTTCCTTCTATCTACACGGACCACCTTCCTTTCTATCAATGTACTATTGACCTGTCCGGCCCACACACCCCAGACGGCTCCCCGCTGTGCCCAGCACGTGCACATGCAGTGGATGCTCTCGGGATCCCCCGCAGGGATACCTGGATGCCTGCAGCTGTCTCCGAGGGTGACGTGGCACTCATCATGTGACTCAAGCCACATGTACATAAATGTACCTGAAGTGGGAACCAAAGAAGTAACCTTCTTACATTCTCCACTTCAGGTAAGTAGTATAGTTTTCCCTTTTGATAACAATAACACATTCTCCACTTCAGTCTAAGTGGCCAGGGACTGCTGTCCCTTCCCGGACCCGCCAGCATGCACGCCCGGTTTGCACCCCGTGAGGGCCCTTCTGCTGGGCGGTACATCTGGACCCCTTCTACCCCAGACGCGTCCCTGACAGTGAGAAGCTTCTGGGAGCTCCTGGAGCATTTGAAAATGAAAAGGAAAAAAGAGGGAAGATCCCCCATGAATGCCTCTTACCACAAGACTAACACAACAAGACACTGCCTAACATTTAGATCAAACACTATACTATATATCAAGGACATTGAGACTTAACAATACACAATCAAAATTTATGGCCTGATATATGATTAATCTGGCAACTTAATCACTTTTGGGCTTGCAGAATATGAAGGGGGAAATGGGGAAGAATGAGGGGGGAATATAAAGGGAAATGAGGAAAATTTGAAAAATAGGGACTTCTAAAAAGTTGAAAAAAATAATTAGGGAAAAAAAATTAAAATTTTCAGGAACTGTAGTGCCTTTGAAGTCGTTATGGATACGGAGTCTCCAACGACCATATCCATCACATGGTCAAAGACTTCTCTCTATCGTTCCTCCCCTCTTTCTCCCTTCCATCCTCTATCCCGATACCCTATCCTCCTTACCCGTTCTACCCCTTTCCCCCCCCTCATGCAAAGCTTTCCCCATTGGGGTTTTGGTGCTGGCCGAGGTTACTTGTGTTTCGCGGGATTTCCCATGACCTTACCATTTGTAGATAGTCACGCGTCTTGTACGGAAACCACTGAAGGCGGTTCCTGCTAACTAACAACTGCTCTACAACTGTCTTGCATGTCATCTTCTGTAACAACCCTCCCTGTGACTCAACTGAACCTGTGTGATTGTACAACTCTCAATATGTCTTATAAGTCTGGTTATATCGAGTCCTCTAACGGCCCTCGCTGTGAGAACTCGAGGTCGCAAGTTGAAGACTCTCGACATGTGTATCGTCCTATGGAATCTGTACCCTATGGGTCCTCATCACTCCGCTCTCCCCCCAGTACTCGACATACGACGTCACATCATGATCATGGAGATCATGAATACTCTGAGGCCCACTTTCCCGTGATGCTGGCACGTTCGCTACGCGAATGCCAAGTAGCCGCCCATCCACCATCTGTTCCCTCCTTCATCAGTCATCATGTTTCCCCACCAATGGTACGTTCCCTTTGGGAACGCCAAGTCACCGAAGGCCCTGTTAGTCAGTCCTCATTGCATGCTTATGATATCAACCCGCTACCGGTATGTTCGCACTGCGAATGCCAAGTACCCGATGGCAACTATATGAAGTTCTCACCCATCTCACAAGTCGCAACCTCGCACACAGTACGCTCCATTGAGGAGCACCAAGTACCCGTGGCTGACCCGTCCATCCTGGCATCTCCGACTACCTACCATCAATCCCTTAATAGCTCACTACATCACCAATTGCAATTGATGGGAATTCGATCGTCCACTCCCAGGCAAGACTGGGATCACTCATCGATTACATATCCTGTTATGGTACAGACTAGATATGACCTTCGTCATCCCACTATAAGAACGGATCGAGGAATGGGGAATTTCCCCCATCCCCGTAACATTGGTGCCCCAACCCCGGTGCGAGAAACTCGCACCATGCCACCAAAGACGGTGTCCCTGTTGGGAGATGAACCAGTCACCCCAGTCCAAGTGACACATGAATTGTATCCTCCTTCCTGCCCCACAAGGATCAGTCAGTCGGATCGTAGATCCAATTCAAGAGATACCTCGCCAGTAGGCGAAGATGTGCATTCCTCGCCCGGTGCATTCCTAAGACAACAAGCTCTCAGGCAATTCATCGAAGCTCTTGGAGAGTTTGAAGGTGGAATTTTTGAGGATTCGAATAACTACATGAAACATATATGAAATTGGTGTCGTCTCGCTCCCACTGATCTCGAGAAAGAGTCTGTTGGAGCCGGTCTCGAAGGAGAGCCTTTGAGATATCGACTAGGGACCGTCTGGTGGGTCGAGCTAACCGACCTGCTCATGAAAATTACCGAGTTCACCCAGCTAGCCACCAAGGCCAACTTAGCTGCAGGTGATTTCATAGTGGATCCCCAAGGCAACCTCGCCCTGATATTCACCATAAGAGGATGGTCGTCGCCTACCGAGTTCAGCATTGCATGGAACTTCCTAGACCAGCGTTTCAATTCCTTCGAAAAACATTTTGATGCCATCAAGAAAGCTGCTTGTCCTTCATGGGAATTTGACGAGTCGCACATGAGTGGACTCAGGTTGGCGAATGTCTCGCCTGCCAAGTTTACGGATCCTGGGCAAGTCGAGGAGGCATGGTCGACCGAAATGTGACCCACTCGTCAACCTGAAGCCCTCCCGTCGGGATGGACTACATTTGAGGATCTCATATCTCCCACAGAAGAGACCACTTTCGTTTGTAAATGCACCCTACCGTCCAGGGCCTTCCCGGTGCCTAGACCAAGCATTAATGTCGCTGTAGGGATGCTACTCAGAGACGAACCCTCGATGCCATTTGTCACAGTTCGTCAAGAGACCAATGCTTTTGAGAACCCCAAGGAGAACGTGGGTTACATGGAATTTGTGAAAGGTCTGAAGGTCGGAAGGAAGACAGAGCTGGGACCTGTTGAGGAGAGACTTGATCCTGACAACTGTGGACCTGAACCCCCTCGTGTCCCTCACCATCTGGCGAATGAAGGACCCATTGGATCCAGAGATCCAGGTCATGATCCGAGACAACTGCCTCTCGACCCCTGGCAGCCGCCACCACAAGGTGCGGGTCCACCACCCCCATCAGGACCACCACCTCCACCTGGACCACCACCTCCGCCCGGTGGGGCTCCATACCCGGGGCACATTCTACCCATCAGATACGCTGGGGCACCGCCCCCTCCCCCGCCTCCCGGACCTGGGGCGTTGGCAGCGCCTCAGCAGAATCCTGGATACAGACCTCCTCCTCTCGACTGCACGCAGCCTTACGTGGATCGCAAATATACTGCGTCAGACTTCCTGGAGTTCAATGGTTTGATTGACAGCTATATAACGTGGTGCAGCATATGTCGGAACCTGGCCAGGCACTCACCTGCTTTTGCCCAACAAATGACCTGCATACTTCCTGATCGTTTCAAGGGTGCTCTGGCAGACTGGTGGTCGACTGTACCGGTCGCCGACAAGTTGTATTTTACCACCAATTGGGAAGATCTACACGGATATGTGCTACATTTCTTCTTAACACCCGCCTTCCTTGACAAGATTCGAGATCGATTCCACACTTGTAGGTACCGTAAGGGTGAAAGGTACTCTAAGGAGTCCCCACATGACTTTGCGACACGCAAACTACGACTCTTATGCATCCTATATCCACTTGCTGATGTTCCCGGACCAGAGGTCTTGAGGGGCAAGGCCCAAAGACTTCTAGAAGACATCCTGAAAGGATGGTGGGCCCATCTCAACATCGATCAGGTCGACACAGCTGAAGAACTCTTATGGCTGACTAAACTTAAGCATGACGAATTAGTAGCTAGCGACGAGTTCAGTATCGACGCTTTAGCAAACTGAGTCGCCTGCATTAATTTGGAGAGGAATAAATGCGGAGGAGACCGTGTCGAGACCAGAAGCGTCGCCGTCACGTCTGGAAGCCAGACCTACCCTACGAGCGACTTCAAGTTGCGGAAGAAACTGCCCAGACCGTGTCGGCACTGTGGAAGTGCGAACCATTGGGACAACGACTGTCCCCCTAGGAAGGCTGATCGAGCCAGGAACGACCGTAAGGAACGTGACAACTCATCCAAGTTGGAAAGTACCTACTGACAGGCTTATGCTGCCTTAGTGGAAGGTCAGGAAGCAGAATTTGCAGTGGCCTACACAGAGTTTTGTACCCTGTCCGATTCTGAATCATCGGACATACCTGACATAGATAATGCCGAAGATTCTTCCTTTTCTTACATTGTGGCCTGTATGTGGAAGGAGATCCTGCCTGATGAGAGACTCATTGGGGCCACCCTGGTCCCGGGTGAGATATATGAAGCCCGTAAGATATTCGAGCGACCCCCAGGTCAGCAGTCCTTAGGATCTAACGCTTGTCGAGTCCGTTGTCGTATCAACGCAATAGACGGGATCGAGATAGAAGCGTTGGCCGACTCTGGGGCAGCCTGCATGCTAATATCGACTGACCTGTATGACCGTATTAAAGGAGAAGGCACCCGCATTAAGCAAGGATTGA